TTGAATATAACAAACATCCACTGAGCAGGTCTAACAGAGTCATTCAAACAGCCTCTCAACACTGATGTTGGTGGAAGTGGAACTATTTATTCTTGAAAGAAAGATATCAAAACAAATTGGTGAAAAGCCTTAAGGCAGGGGTAGGCAAGTAAGTTTGGCCGTGGGCCAATTTTTTGCTGAGCCACAAGATGGCGGGCCAGAACATAATCAAAGCCTAATTCAAGGAATTGATTTTGGTAAGAGGGCGCAGCGCCCCTATTCCCCGGTTCAGAAAAAACTCTATCGCTGATAACCCTCCCCATCAAGACTCTGATGCGCAGTCAGATCCGCTGATTGGTTCACTGATGATATAGGCGCCCAATACAGAGCCTCTGGCTAGACCCTCCCAAAGGGAGGCTCGTCCTCTCTAGCCCCATTTCAGTCCCAAAGCCAGGGCTATTATCTGTATTTTAACAGACTTATCTTTTAAATGAGGTGTATTTATTGTTCTCTTCAAAGTTTATTTTTCTCTGAAATGTTAGGGAGGATGGTCCTCCCTTTCCTCAATGGACGAGCCTCCACTGAGTAAAGTAGAGTTATTAACTAGGTAGCAGTGTTATTTAACATACTTTTATTCTGATAAGTATTGTCAAGTTCTCTGGGTTTTTGGCATTTATTTGAGTGTTTTTCCATTTGAGAGGCAACGCATGGACAACTCGAATCCTTTTTCCTTTTCTTTATTTCAACTTTTCAAAGACACATTAGGATTCTTTCAGTTTGAAAACCTTTAAAAAATACCAAAGGACAAAATAAATCAATTACAGCATGTTTTGCTTTGCAATTTAATATAGGCTATTATAACCTAAATTAATCAGTAACCAAGTATTTCACTCAAACTCAATGTATTTAATAGTTAAATAAGTACTTTAATTGACCTGGTTCCCCACAACCACACATTTGCCATATGTGACCCGCTCTATCGAAATCAGTCGGAAGTCGCAACGGCTCATTTCAAAATAAACGTGGATTTGCGTAAAAAAATAGTTTTTTGGGGATCGGGTGTTTTGTTTGATTTTAAATAAACAAAGTCTTGGCTTTCAGAATATGACATTTTTATTTCCAAAATCACACGATAAATACATGTTTGAAGCTTGAAAAGGGAAGATGACAGCTCTCCCTCGCCACTCTGCTCTTCCACAGCGCCGCTTCCCCTCCCTCCGCTGACATTATGAATGTAAGCGGAGGGAGGGACAGAATTTATTTTGACAAATTTGAAACTTACCGGTCATGTTTCAATAATAATAATAAGAGTTGTGTAGCAAAGTTTCCGTTAGCAGGTAATCACCGGACTATGAGCAGATATGCTGATGTTTAAAACTCAGTTAATGGGAGTCATTTTTATATTGCTTCAGTTTATAATCGTTACAGATCGAAAAGTTCAGATTCATTTTTCCATAAATGATTCCACAAACAACAAAATGATTACATTCAAACAAACTACTTGTAGATGAAGTACATTATTCAAAAGTTTACAATAACTTTGAATAATAACACGGGAGTCTCTTATCTCTCTCTCTCCTCTCTCTCTCCTTCCTCTCACCTCCTCTCTCTCTCTTCTCTCTCTCTCTCTCTCTCTCCTCTAGAGGGCGGGGCTTCAGGGGTGATCATGCAGAGCTGCTGTCTACATTAGACTCAGCAGCTGATCTGATCTCTCTCTTCCGTCCCGGTTACACTTCACTCGCGTTTATGTCCATATCGATCAGATCCAGCTCTCCTGATCGGCCCTTTATAGAGAGCACCGATCAAACTATTAAGAGTGAATATCGGCCGATTTAATGACCGGCGGCCGATATATCGGCGGCTAACGGGAAACCCTGATGTGAATAATAATAATCAAAATAATATTTTATTTTTGATTCTCAAAATTACGGGCCAAATATTATTGCTGGCGGGCCAAACAATGGCCCACGGGCGCCCTGTTGCCGACCCATTGCCTTAAGGTATTTATAAATTCAAAGGGAAGTCTTGGGCGAATGAGTTGTTTTCCCGTTATCTCCGTGCATCTTAACAGACTGAATTTAATGACATCATTGAGAAGAGTTGAGATGGGTTGTTGTTTTGTTAACACATATTTAACCTATGATGAAAATTACACAACTCCTGGTGAGGTAAACAGACAGCCACCAGTGTCTCAACATTTGACTTGGTTCTGGAGCAAAAGCCTAACAAATCAAATACGGTTAGTGTTCTTTGATAAAACGTTCACCCACTGAATGTTTAACAAAAAAAGCCTTATCCAATGTTTCCACATATGCACATTTTAACATAGATGAACCTTCAAACATTGCAGTTGAGGATCAAGCTTTGCCTCCCTCCCTTGCAAGTGTCTTTCAAGCTTCTGATTATGCTGCTTCAGTGTTACACTAATACGAAAAGTGCTGTCACATATCAAAGTCTGCAGAGTCTAGTGATCACCCTTTATGACCATCATCACTGCCAATATCTACAAGGCAATATAACAGTAGCCATTTTCAAAGGCGTCTGGAAGCTTTGTTCTCCTGATTAGGAGACTTGGCGCCTTTTAAAACATGCACCGCCACATCTCTGGGTAACTCTTTGTTTGTGTGCCTCGCCTTATCATTATATAAGAACATTACAAGTTGGCGGTCTCTATGCTGTGGTGGTAGGGTGCAGAAGGGCTGTTTCCTTTAAGCTCAATTAAGCCCCTTACCAAACACCTCTGATTCACAAACACCTGCTTTCCATGGTGTTACTATGGTGATTTCTGTAGTAAACAGGTTAGGACTTGAAGACACACAGGAGGGTAAGAAGATGGAGAAAGATATAAAAAGTCTCTGGCTAATCATGATGAGTAAATGTTTTTGTTTTTCAGTCAGTACTATATCTGATCTAGACACAAAGACATGCCCATGGTCTTTAACATCAAAGACAAAGACACACACACACACACACACACACACACACACACACACACACACACACACAACACACACACACACACCACACACAACACACACACACACACACACACACACACACACACACACCACACAAACAAACACACACACACACACACACACACACACACACACACACACACCCACACACACACACCACACACACACACACACACACACACACCACACACACACACACACACACACACACACACACACACACCACACACACACACCACACACACACACACACACACACACACAACACACACACACACACACACACACACACACACACACACACACACACACACACACACACACACACACACACACACCACACACACACACACACACACACACACACACACGTCTTTAGAAAACATACTTTGCTCTTCTGCTTTGTAGGTGAACAATACAGTAAGCTGATCTTCACAGAGTAGAGGCGGGGACCCCGGGCATGTCTAGAGGTCCATCACATGTGCATTATTGTACAGTGCGATTCAACAGAGCACTGATGAGTCGACAGTACATTACACAGATGAAGTTATTACATATTTCTTTCAAACATATATAATGTGCCGCTGTGTGGGCTGACCTAACCTCCTATCCAATTATTGAAACCTCTCGAGACCACAAACCACCGACAACTATATTGCTAGTATCTTTAAAAATAGGTTAACTTTAGAGGTAATGAGAAAAACATTCTTTCAGTCTTACTCTCCTTTGCTTCTAGGAACTGTTTATAGGCCCTTGAGTGAGCTCAATACATCACAAGTTCAAACAAGAAAGCCAAAAACACTCACTCACCTAACACAACATAAAAAGGCCTTACTGTGAGATCTAGGTTACGCTTCCTTTAAAACAGTAGCCACAATGTGTCCTTTCTCTGGATATTTGAGCTACTTCCAAAGTAAATTAAGCTGAAGGGTACTGAACTGGTAGTTTTTTCCAAATTACAATATTTAAAATAAAAATAAAAATACATGATGATACATTATTATGCTGTCAAAGCATTATTAAGAAAAGGTATAAGCAAAATGAAAGGCTTACAGGCATTAGCAGTGGGGCCCTCATTAGACCCTATACAGGAGGTATATGGCTTTTATAAACATTTTAGGAATGCGCAAAGATATACAACTGAAGCCTGACGGAAAATATATCCGAGGTAATTAGGACTCATTATGGCACGATTATCATTTGGACATGTTATCCATCTGTGATAGAGATAGCAGTGTGTCAGCAACATTATAACACATTATCCTTGCCTCTATGCTGAGGAGCTCAGGTGAACAGCGAAGCCTGAGCACCGGAGCACGACCTCATGATAAGAGCGTCATGTGATACTGCTTAGTGAAGATACAATAATGTAAAGAGAACGAGGAGGGAGCGTGATGAAAGGTGACGCAACGCTCTTCGGCTGACTGACTCGGATTCCTTTGCAGAAAACATTTGGACCGAGGGGGAGAGAAAGAATGATGACTCCCTGTACACCCCAATCTTTCTCCCCCCTCTCTTTTTGTCTCCGCAGTGAGCAAGGTGATGAATGTGTGTGCCCGTCTCAGTTCCTATTAATAGTATTAGTAGTATGGAGTGGAGACAGAGGTGTCAAAGCCAGAGAGGGATGAGAGCTCTCACTCTCTCTTCCCCTCTCTTAATGAGATGAAACCGACTCTGCAGGAGAGTCCAGATGTAGCAGAGGTGGGGGGCAGGACGCAGGGGAAGAAAGGGGGTAGAGGTCGAAGACAAAGCCAGCAGCAGAGCTTCAAACAGCATGGTGACGGATTTACTACCCATACGATAAAGCAAACAACTTCTCAGCACAGTGGGGTGAAAGACTGGACTTGCACAGTGGGGCTACACAGACAGACATACTGACACATAGGTGCCCAGACAACAGTGGGTTAACTGATTTAACCCTGGAAGCACCGTGCTACTAAGAGTGGAAATTACACAGTTTCCTTTGAGAGTCAAGGGATAGTTCTGCCGTAGAAGACCACTGTTTATACACTCAAGCCTATAAATACATGAGTTTATTCATACCACGTGAGTTGGTAGCCAGGTCGGCCACTTTCTGAAAGGCATCGAGGAAAGCCGCCACAGCAACCACCGTCGCCCTGGAGAGAAAAGAGAGGTTTAGTATGAAAATCCCACTGACTTTACTGATATGAAACAATTTACAATACCATGTTTTTTAATAAATAAAGGAGAAACTAATTAGCAGTAGAGGTACTTCAAATCAGTCAAAGGTTACGTGAACACAAGTGGCTGATCAACAACAGCAATGACATACAAGTGTTGGCAAGCAACGAAAGAAATGAGATGATAAACTTATCAGATCTTCTTTGACTCGGTAGAGAGAGATAAACACCTTCTGCGCAGGCATGCACAAACTAAATGTGTACAAATGTTAGATTATGAAGTTTACATCCTGGTAATTTGAACACTTAAGTATGAATGATAGTGTCTGTATGTATTGTGAGCGTGTGAGTAAGTTCAAACTTAAACGTGCCCCGCTGTGTGAGGAATGTCTCTTTGATTACTTAGAGACCGCTGGAATCTGTCCAGGCTCAGCAGTCCTGAGCCCAGTTTGCCGCACTTACAGGTCAATGAAGGGATCAATGTGGGATCTACCCTGTTCAGACTCAAATGGAAAAAGGGCTTATGGGAAATTCCCAACTCATACCTGCTTTTTATCGTGTGTGGTTAACCACACAGTATTCACAAATTGCAGTATAAAATAATGCTGAAGACTAAAGAAAGGTCAAGATTCGAGTGGTCATTTAAAAAAGAAGTGGATGCTTGGTGAAAGATTACTCTCAGTTTTACTCATACTTGCTGGTAAACTAGCTGACTAGTTACTTTGCTAGCTGGCAACATGTTGCCTCATTGGCAGGCCAGATGACTAGTTAACTGGAAAATACTGACTCACCTTCTCCAGAAGCAACCAGCCTCATGATTAACATCACAGGTGTGGAGATGACGCTCTTAGTGTGTGTACATGCTTTTATGCAATATCTGATCCCATGAATAGAGACAACATACCCATAAATCATGCCAGAATAAGCATGTTTGTCTAAGCTCCGTGCAAAGCTTAATTTGTTAACACCTCTTATCTTTGAAGGGCTGACAGAAAACCATCAGAACACAACCTGTGAGTTTCCATAAACACACCAGACAGGTAGCTTTAACAAGTGGGAAAAACACCAGCTGAGAACAGGCTGCTGGCACCTCTCAACTTTGACTTGCAGATGGATATGTAAGGTGTATTTTAACACCATTGCATATCTGTCTGTTTTCTGATATTACCGAGTATTTTTTAGCATGATCAAATATTTAAAATACTCTATGGATTAAAATTGTTCTTAGAAGATGTTCATAATGCTGAGTTGAGAAGTATTTTCTAAATCTAAACCAACTCAAGTCTGTTAAAGTTATCAGTCACTTTATGGAGTTAACATCTTAGAAGGGCCTTCTACAAAGCATGAACAAAAGGAAAAAGAGAACATAACTGGTAAACAACACTGACCCAAAACTGAATTACAGGCCTTAATATTCTTCTACATTCATTTGACAGGCAAGCCTTAGTATTAAGTAAATTAAGGAACTTCCTTTGTCACTCAAAAACTTCCTAAAATATTGGCTAATAAGGGCTGTGTTGTTGCAGAGCTGACCAGAAGATCCAAGGGTGTGTCCTGCATGTGGAAAAAGAAACATACGCGCAGGCACACACAGATTCCTTTCTATTTAAAGCCCACTGCGGCCACCAGAGCAACCTCCAACTGATATCCGTCTCCACTCATTTATACCTTATATACACTGGTCTGTGGATTTTATTTTACGTGCACTAGCAGCCGGGTCTTGTTCAGTCAAGTTTAATGTATTAATCAAAAACAGGTTTGCGTGGCCGTACAGCCTACTTTAAGTGGATCCAGTCATCGAAAGTTAAATGCGACATTGCCAAGAATTGTGAAATAATCGTTATTGAAAAATCAACCAAACAAAACATTTCCGGCTCAGTTGACAGTGACTAATAATTAATATTATCAGGTATTCATTTAAGCTCAGACAGTAAGCAAAAAAGCCTCAAGATTTGTGTTGACATTTAAATAAAAAAAAGCATTTCTGCCGCTCCGTACAGTGCTCCGAGTGCTACCATTGGCCTTCAAATCTGCACACGCCCCTGTCCGGGAGTCAAGACAAACGACTAACATATCTATTCCACAAGGCCCTGGCCGAGCCAATCTAAACTCCCCAAAGACCCTGGCGTAGCTCTCCCTGACAATGATACATTCAGCACTGCTGCTCCCATCTATTCTTAGCACAACTGAGCCTGGAATGTGACTGTAGTAAATAGGAATCATAGAAAGAGGTTGTGTTTAACACTACTTGTTTGACACATCATACAAAGACTCATGACAGAGATAAGTCCTTTGAGCATGTGTTAAGCAAGTTTGTATATGTACATATGTCTGTACTGTATGTATCCGTCTATCAAACTACATATTAAAGGGCTCCTCCATGAGACAAATTAAATTGTTTAACCATAGAGCTCATACGATGAATTTGAAGTTTTTGAGGTGGTCTTTTTTCACAAAAAAACCTCAGAAGCAATAGGAGGGAGGCATAGCTCTGACACAGCTGCAACAACCATGAGACACCAAACACTCAAGTTGAAAGAGGACTGTGATTAGAAATCAGCTAGCCTATATTCCACCCTGCCCTCTTTCTTCAAAGCTGTTCTGTGCGTGTGTGTGCGCGTGTGTGTGTGTGTGTGTGTGTGTGTGTGTGTGTGTGTGTGTGTGCACGTGATGGCTGCTCAAAACCAGAATGGCCAGGAAAAAAACACCATATTTGGACCAAAAAAAAATGACAGAACAGGCCCAGCACTGTAATTGGTTGATTTCCTAGTTGAGAGGGGCGCAGAGGGTCTAAATTACAGAGCAGTGTGCCTCAGGACGTCATTACACACACAGACATGCCGCTACCACTGCTGGCTAGTCACTTATCCAGGCCGTGGAGGGAAGGTGGGTGTGTTTGTGATTTAATGTGTGTGTATGTGTGTGTGTGTGTATGTGTGTGTATGTGTGTGTGTGTGTGTGTGTGTGTGTGTGTGTGTGTGTGTGGTGTGTGTGTGTGTGTGTGGTGTGTGTGTGTGTGTGTGTGTGTGGTGTGTGTGTGTGTGTGTGTGTGTGTGTGGTGTGTGTGTGTGTGTGTGTGGTGTGTGTGTGTGTGTGTGTGTGTGTGTGTGTGTGTGTGTGTGTGTGTGTGTGTGTGTGTGTGTGTGTGTGTGTGTGTGTGTGTGTGTGTGTGTGTGTGTGTATCCTTCTATGTAGCCTGGTCCCCAAGCAGATTACAGAGGTCCTTGGGTATGGGGGGTTATGCTGTAGTCTAAAGGGCTAGTTTAGCCAAGTTTAAGTGGCTGGAGAAGGTCTTTAAAGCTTTATTTGTGGGTCATAGCGAGCAAAGCCCAGATAGCACACCCTTATTAGAGCTACAGCAGCAAGGGGATTGCTATAGCCAACCATATGCCACAACCACTGCTGCCTGGAGCAGGGCGTAAGTTAAGCTTCATCAGGAAACAAGCTAGCCTAAAATATTATAATACGGTCGTCTTTCTCTGAATGACACTTAACTCTTCCTGTAAATAAGGTATTTCTCTTTTCTGGGTAGGAAGGGGGTGTATTGCCATCAAATAAGTAGGTCAAAGATGACAGGTGGAATTGTTCTTTTATCCTGGCCCAGACACACAGACATCCTATTGCCAAAGAGCCAGTCATTAGCAACAAGGCCACAAATACTCCCCTGAGCTGTAGCATGGCAGGGTCACATATTTAACCCCTGAATGATGGAGACACTTGAATAACATATCACCATTAATCAGCCTTAATACTGAAACAAATGGAAGAATGGGACAGTGAGTGGCCCCTGGAAAGTATTGTTGAGTCCCTGAGCCTTTATGCACCTGTCACTGACGGTCTGTCTCAGGACACGTGGACACTTAAATGGCTAGAGAACTGTCATGCATTGTTAATCAGAGAATCATTTAGACCACAGGACATCCATATTTACAGTACTTGCAGGACAATAAGCTTTTATTCCAGCTGTCATAAGGTGTTTGTCTCCTGACACGTGGCCACTTAAAACCAACTAGGGGAGGTGGCTGGGATTGGCATCCATTGTTAGCAGATGACTTGGAATAATTTTGGCAGGAGGTGTGCAAATTTACAGCGGTAGAAACACAAATTAAATCAGGCTTAAGAAGACTAAATGGGGTAGAGGGACACATAATGCCCCCCTGGAAAGTATTGTTAAGAGATTAGGCTTTTTATGTCGACTGTCATTGCTTGTTAGTGTAAGGATAAATGGCCACTTAAAACTTATTCAACACGGAATTGACACTGACATCCAACACAAAAGGGCATAAAATGCAGAAAAATACTTGAATTTTTTTGTGTTTGAGGGTTATTTTGGGATATCAGAGATGTTATGCTACAGTCAAAGAGGAGTCACTCTAGCCAGGAACAGTTTTAGTTAGTGATCCAAAATGTGTATTGTCAAATTACAATTGACATTTAGCGTAACATTTCGGAGAAATTGGCTAAAGAAAATGCTTATTAATAGAAGTTTCTTTCAGTTACTGTTATGCAAATATGAGAAGTAATATCTTAATAGTTTGTGTTTCATTTATCAAAAAAATACAGAAACATACAATTGTGTTTAATGTAAACATAAAGACGGTCTCACCTGAGCTGCGACTGCAGTTTGCCGGCCTTTGTGATAAAGTCCTCCCAGATAGGGTAGCTGCTCTGTAAGGGGAACAGAAAACAGAAACATGAATGATACAAACATCACTAAAGATGTCACTATTCCCACAGTTACCTAACAGTTTAATCGACAAGAGGCCATACTGATGCCTCACCTCCCCTGCAGGGCTAAACAGAGCTAACCAAGGTGTAGGCTTTCCCATACATGCAAGCCAGTTACGCATGTCACCCCTAAACACATGTTTTTCCTTCTTGTTGCCAGTGGACCTGAGGGAATCGGATTGAAGTTATAGGACATACTGTAATGTCCTGCATATAATAGGTTTTAAAATGGGTCACAGGCCTCTTTTGGAACGATCCCCACACAATAAGAGCACTAATACATGGTTTAATGAGCCTGGTTTCCAGAGGGACTCTACATTTACTCAATTCAGGTCCTGGGCTGAAAATAGTTTAGAAGAGCCTTCTATCAAAACCATCACAGAGAACAAGTGGCCTAATGCAACTCTCTTCGACACCACCAGATAATGTGATGCATATCGCATGAGCTCATGTTTGTCACTAATGTGCCACTACTGTCAGGGGTCTGAGGAATGTCATGTTATGATGTCAAACATTACACCCAACAAACAACTCAACTCTCTCCAACTATGGTAACTCGTTTTTGCCTCTTGAATTTCCCTTACATCACTTATTTTAAATCTCCTACCACCAGCTCTCCCTGATGCTCTGCCACAGATATCAAACACTGGCAGCTTTCTCTGCATTTCTCATATCATGTCTTACTGCTTGTGTTGACAGCTTAGGTTTAGTGAGCTTTACCTTATTTTTTGAGTACATAACTCCATCTGTAGCGCTCTAAAAGACAAAAACATCACTGGAAATGAGTACAGACAAAACTAATTTCGCAATGGAATGTTTCCACTAGATTGTATGGCAGTAAAAAGACAGGGGAGCCATGAACTACCTGGTGAAGTGAGACATGGGCCTCTGAGAAGTGCTGAATATCTGAGCAGTATTCATAACAAACTTTATGACTTCAATAGACCCGATATGTGTCCATTTGACCTCCCATGTCAAAGCCTTCAGACCTTAAGGGTTATTTTTTTTACCCTGACAGCTACATTCACGGAATTCCTTCAGTCAAGTACAACAGCTGGGAAATTGCTAAGTCTCGTTGACCAAGCTGTAAGAGATTACATCAAAAATAATATGCCTTAGCTTTAAGACTGAAGATTGCCCTATTTAGCCTTTATCCAATGTTGGCTGCAGCTTCAGGCTAAACTGGAACACATTGACGTAAAATTGACTAATTTTTTTAATACAATAAAATGGGAGGAAACATTTGAGTGCAGTCAAATATTATTTATAATTTAGCTAGCCACCACAAAAACAAAAACGTACATAGTTATGTTAATATACAGGCAGGTTAAGGAGCACTTTCGTGTTAGAATCCAGTTTAATGCCAGTACGTTTACACATCAAAGGAAATTGCTTTGACGTATGGTGGTGCAAACATAAACAAAGAAATGAGGAGAAAGAGAGAACAAATACATATAATGATTATTTAAAAATGTTTAAAAACAAATGTTACATTAAAAAAGAATAAAGAAAAGTGTTTACACTAAATATAAATACACAAAAATGAACTAAAAAACGTAGTTAGCTACAATGAATATATGGCAATATATAACAGTAGAATATATTTTAAAGTGGAGGGCTGTGCAGATGTGTAGAAAAGTTATGGACTACTTATCATAACCATAATTTGAGCTAATAACCCAACTTTTCCACTTTAGACCACTACATTCTGTCGACTTTAAGTTATAACGAAATGTTTCAATAAGAAGATTGATGCATATTTCAGTCGGGTTCAGAAAGCTAACTGTTGGTTGACCTAACACACATTGATTAGCTGACTCAAACGGTAATCCACATTTACGACATTAGACAGATGTTTGGGAAGTAACTGGCAGTGAAAGTTTTCGCACGTCACTTAAAGGATCTCAGATAACATTACTTGTGTTGTAAATGTCTTCTGGCCTACCTTCATGTCTCCGATAACAGTTTGGAAAAGTCCTCCAAAAGCGCTGCATTCCTTCTCGATAACAGCCTCCATTTTCAGGACTAACTCCAGCGGTCAGTCCCGACTCGGTGAGCCGCTTTCACTTCTCCACCTCCGCTCTCCAGGAAAAGCAAATACTCCCAAAATATAAACAAAAACGAAATAAACCACCTATGTAAAGCTGCTGCAGTGACTTAACCGACTCACAACAACTTTCGTATCGGTGGAATGTGCAAAGAAACACAGCTCGGTTCTGCTCGGTTGCACCGTTTACTTGAAATCAAAAGAAGCTGCTGGGACGAAAGAGACATTTAAATCCCCCTCTCTCTGCCAAGCTCATGCCCATGGCTGGACCGTGAAGATGCTCTTTTGCAGTTTGCTAGTCGAAAATATAAATATTCCCAATGTTAGACTGGTAATGTTATTCCGTATATTGACAGGTAAATGCCGACACTCACTGGTGCTCCTACTGCCTTCTCAACACTGACTGAGAGAGAGAAAACAAGACGAGAAATTACCGCCAAGCCTACCTACCTGCATAAAGAAAAGCATGCACTTCCGGTTGAGTATTTTACACCAAAATAAAGCACGTGATAAATTGGAATATTTTAAAGTCGTCTTCTTCTCTTTTTTTTACACCTAAAATCATGTGATATATATTTGAAATCAGCAAAAGCTCAAGTTAGTAATATTAGTTTATCATTATTTTGAAAATATAGTACACGAAACATGACATCCCAATAAAAAAATACAACGTTGTGAACGTGTACATCATTTCAGATAGAACATAATCTTAAACGACCAGCTCGTCTTAAAACTTGTTTTAATACACGTTTACGGGCGTGTTGTTGCTTTTATTTTGAAGGAATACCCGCGATACTTGCGCTATTTTTCAGTTTGACTTGACTCCATGCTTCATGGTGATGGGAGACGCATAGGTGAGCTGTGAGTGAAAAAGACAAGCCAAACTGAATAAGAAGTAATGACTATTCTAACCGTAGAACAATTTATTCTGACAATGTGGACTAAGGGTGCATGATACAAGCACAATATTGAATTACGTTAGCAATACTTTTTTTTGACGCAAACGTTTTACTATGTATACATAAGCATGGGATAAATATTGAAAAGTTAAACGGTTGTAGATAATGGGCGACATCTAGTGGCTGAAATAAGAATGACAACATAGATGTATTATGACGTTATATTGACTTTGCTTTTATTTGTAAACGTTTCTATAAGGGCATTAAGATATAGCAAATGTTAATGACACTAACCTTGACGTCAAAATATGCCCTATAATAGCTTCACAAACATCACTACATCAAACATTTCCATAAAACTAGATAACAATACATTAAATATTAAGATAGATATTTGCATATATACATGTACATTTTATTAATCACAATCAGAACTTGCAATGCTGCATACATATAAGTTATAAGGCTACATACACTCATCTCTACATCAAAAACTTGTAACACCAACTGGTGTATCAGAGAAAACTGCCAGCCAAAGCAACATGTGGTGGAGATAGCCCTAACACCAACTCAAATAGTTAGTCTCAAATAGATGTTATGGACAAATGCTGTATAGATGCGTTTGAAATGCACATTAAAACATCTGAAAAAGACCAAAACTTCTGCTATGAAGAGAACATTGGAAAAAATGTGTTAGATATGACGTAGACTAAACCTCAACTTGTGAGGATTCAGAATATTTAACGCAATATTTATTATGAAATCCCAAAAGTACTTCTCGGCTTTATTTGCATATCTTTTAATGTCATTTGAGTTGATTGGTGAACAACAGGGCTAAATCACTGTTTTACCCTCTCACAGATGAAGAGATGGACCTTGTTCACAATTGTTTTTTTACTTGAGTGGCTTATTGTGGCAACACTGTGGCAGGAAACACTGCACCTTGTAATGATGCTCAGACAAGAGCTTATTTTTTCTTTGAAACCTTTATTTGTGTAGTTCTTAAAAGCATTTCAAATTTCAAGAAAAACCAAGTGTTAAAACAAATGTATTAAAAACAATTTTAAGTTAACAACATGTATATGCAAAAAAGCATACAGTAAATACAACTAATACATCATGTAGCAATATGATTATTGATGCTATACATACATACATTTAATGATCCATTAGTAGATTAAGATCACGGTTTGAAATATAGTAGCTGACTGATGAGAAACAGTCAAAATGGAGTTGGCCACAAATGACTGCACTCAGACAGTTTAAACAGTAACACATATTATTATGTAACTTATGTTAACTGAGAATGGAATAATTGTTACAATATATGAACAACTGAAGACGTTGGATACAAAGTTCTCACAATAAGAATTACGATTTTGAAATTTAAATATCAGATCAATTTACACTTTTAATAGGATTACATTGAAATGTAATAGAATTCATATCAAAATCTAGTGAGAAAATAGCTCCTTAGCACCAAGGAAACTGAAGGACAGTAAAAACCATCATCTTTCAAACAAATTGCACCATCACATTATTGTTATGCAGTGCTTTATCCATGAGCAGCATTAATAGGCATGTTGTAGTGGTCATTTGAAAAGGGGAATAGTTCCTCATATGAGAATGACTGTGTATAGCCAACTTAAACTGCAATTCTTTATTCCTATCCTATAGACACTTCAAACAGCACTGACTGAACCTACCTGAACCCAAACCTTTAACAGATTTATTGCGGGAATATTATTGTCCAGAACATTTAACACATGTTTGACTGAGGCAAACATTTGAAATATATGTATTACTTTTACCTTTTTATGATGCAAGTTAACCATCAGGAAATAACTGATGGTGTGCTGATGTTTTAATACATGCTGAAGTCATGAAAATGTTTTTATACTGAAGTTTCCAGTTTAGTTTTTTCTGGTTACGACATCCACCTCTTGAATCCCATCACCATACTGCAGCCATAACATAATGTCACCACAAATGCAAATACCTGGGATAAAAAGACAAAAGGAGAGAGAGCAAAAACACAGTTGGTCAGAAATACCCCAGCAATTTCACTCACATTTGCTGACTGATAACTTATTAGTTTGTTCCATATCTATTTATAATATTTGTTTTGTTCAGTAGGTTCCTACAGGTCTGTAGGATCACTTACTAATTGTAATCTGCCAAAGACAACATTTAAGTATATACACTGGAGGAAATAAGTATTTGTTCCCTTGCCGATTTTGTAAGTTTATCCACTTACAAAGAAATGAACAGTCTTTAATTGTAATGGTAGGTTTATTTGACTAATGAGAGAGAATATCAAAAAGAAAATCCAGAAATTGACATTATATAAAAGCTACAAATGTATTTGTATTTAACTGTGGGAAAAATAGTATGTGATCCCCTTGCAACCAACAGGAATTCTGGCTCCCACAGACCAGTTACATAAGTCCGCTTCCTTTAAAAAAGTACTCCTAATATCAACTTGTTACCTGTATAAAAGACACCTGTCCACAGAATCAATCAATCTGATTCCAACCGCTCAACCACATGGGCAAGACTAAAAAGCTGTCTGAGGCCCTCAGGAACAAGACAGTAGACCTACAAAAGGCTGGGATTGGCTACAAGACCATCAGAAAGCAGCTTGGTGAGAAGGAGACAACTGTTGATGCGATTATTCAGAAGGACAATGTGTGTGTTTCTAAATGGAAGAAAGACAAAATGAGCATCAATCGCCCTCTGCCTGGGGCTCCACACAAGATCTCGTGAGGGAAAGGTGAGGGATCAGCCAAGAACTACACGGGAGGAACTTGTTAATGATCTCAAGGCAGCTGGGACCACAGTCACCAAGAAAACTATTGGTAACACATTACACCATAATGGATCAAATCCTGCAGCGCTGCAAGGGCCCCCTGCTCAAGAAGAACATGAAAGGCCCGTCTGAAATGTGCCAATCGTCATCTGAATGATTCAGAGAAGGCTTGTGAGAATATGATCTGGTCAGATGAGAACAAAATCCAGATCAAGGCATCAACTCGACACACCGTGTTTGGAGGAAGAGATATGCTGACTATAACCCCAGAACACCATCCCCAACGTCAAGCATGGAGGTGGAAACATTATGCTTTGGGGGTGAGGAGTGGACCAAAATCCTTCCTGAGATGTGCACATACCTGGAGACCAACTACAAGAAGCGTCTGACAGAGGTCTGTCCAACGAGGGTTTCTCCACCAAGTACTAACACATGTTTTGCAAGGGGATCAAATATTTCCCACAGTTAAATGCAAATCCATTTTTATCTTTTATATAATGTCAATTTCTCGATTTTTTTTTTTGTTGATATTCTCTCTCATTAGTCAAATAAACCTACCATTAAACTCATAGACTGTTCATTTGTTTCTAAGTGGGCAAACTAACTAAATCTGCAAGGGATCAAATACTTATTTCCTCCACTGTATATATAAATTAAACAAAGAACAGCAAGCAAAGTCAAGAATTTGTACTTCTTTGTACACAAATGTGTCATCTGAGGTGTTTCTCTGAAAGTAAGCTATTAAGAGCCTGAAAGAATAACAGGGTGGATATCAGATATAGTTCATCAATTAACTTTTCGTAGAACCTTTGGATTCTTTTTTCTAGTCTTTCTAAGGCACTCAGCAGGTACCTTCCTAAGTCAAATGTAACAGGGTTTAACATTATGGTACATTTCATTAAATAATACTGAGTCCATTATGATAATATGATTTAAAACACACAAACTTTGCACACTGTGATACAGACTTCATTTAAAAACAGGTATATAGCACTCACCGTGGCTGCCACATTAACACTGTATTGCCTGTCATCCATGACTGTGAATATATTGCCCCGAGGGTAAGCTATACACATGACAGTTTCAGTGCTGTTGGGCAGTATCTTGATGTGGGCTCCTCCATTCGCTGCCGTAGTTGCTGCCTCCAACACAAAGGCGGCAAAGTAGAAAAGCAATGCCATAAAATGGTAAGTCACATCCTGTGGGACAAAAAAAAGTATGCATTAGATATAAAAACAAAACAGTAATAGCAGCAGTTGGATATAAAGAATGGCCAACATGTCAGTTGTATCCCCTCGGGTAATTATTAGACAATGCACTGGTAACTAAAGCTAACTGGACTTTGGAAGTCACATAACAAACATGGCCATCTGTCAATAACCCAAGCTTTTACACTAATTCCCTTTACACAAGAGCAACACAAAAACATGGCAAATTATGGAAACATTTAAAATAAAGGAGTATAAAATGGAAGTCAACATATTAAGGAAAAACCACAAAGAAAAACAGAGAGAGGGATTAAGATGCAGAGGGAAAAAGGGGGTGTCAGAATATTTAAGCAGGTTAATAAGACTGTGTTGTCGCTGGACTACAGGCAGGCCTTTGTTATAGTGTGAGCTCATCATCCATGTCACTCATTGTTCGGCCGAAAGCAAACAAACCCAGACACCGGGCTCCTTCTGGGAGCAGAGCCTGGAGCCTGAGGGAAGGCT